AAGTAGGATTGCCCAACCTTCCTTCCGAGGAGTGGCTGGTGGGTTTGAACCGCCAGCCTTCTGGTTAGCAGTCAAGTGCCTTAGGCACTATGCTACCAGATGGCAAGGAATTGTGCTCAAAATAATAATGACCTTAACAGCGATTAGCACTGCAGTTTTCAGAGCATCACCACATAGTCTTCCAGCTGCTTTATGAAAGAGGTCCTCCTCCACCTTACCCTTTCTAAAGAAGGACATGTCCTTTTCCTTTTGCTTTTATAATTTTATTTGACTTATGTTTTCCTTGGTTTCTGAGACTCTTTCACCTCCAAACCCCGAGGCCACATGTTGGGTGGTAAAACGGTTCCACCACGTTCCATGAAGCATTGCAGCCCAGTGAGCCTCTGAAGGTTGTGGCTATAGCTGTTTAGACAGAACTGCTCAGAAGATTGGGCTCCTGAGGGAAGGGGCCACTGCCAACCCCAGCTTATCCCTTAGATACCCTTATCTGCTGTCCCTTACTAAAATGACTCACGCAGCATGGGAGCCTACTATGTCCCCTGGGTTTCCCTCAGGCTCTGCTGTCCTGGTGTCTTTACACAGACATCTTCTTGGCCCAAGAATGTCCTCTCCTCTCCTCTCCCTCTGCCTGCTGGAATGCTTTCTCTCCTTCAAGCCTTGGGCTTGATGCCATTTACTCCAGCAAGTTGTCCTAGCTGTTTTCCCATCTGCCTCCCCAGTGAGTAATCTCTCCTATTTTAAATGTCATTTTCATTTCTCTATAACATTTATTATAATTTGCACTTATATTCAGTTATTTAGGTTCTTTAGGTATATGTTTTGTGTCCCTTACTAGATTATATAGCCTTAAGTTATATAAGCTATAGAAGATAGGCCTAGATAAACCCTATCATTACATCTCCTTTAGCCCTAATATTTTGTGCTCACACACACACACACACCCCAGACCAGTTGCTGTGGATTTGATTCGGACTCAAGGTGACCCCATGTGTGTCAGATTAGAACTATGATCCACAGTATATTTAATGGTTGATTTTTTTCAGAAGTGGGTCACCAGAAACATCAGAGACACTTCTGGATGGACTAGAACCACTGACCTTTTGGTTAACAGCTAAGCACTTAACTATTTGCATCACCCAGGGATTCCTTGCACACAATAAATACTCAACAAATTGCTGTGGAGTTGGAATCAGTTCAATTGCCCCAGGAGGTATTCTTCAAATGGCAGCAAGCTCTATGAAATCAAAGCAGTTTTTCCTAAGATCTGGTCTCTTAGGGGAAAAAAAAAGAGAGAGAGAGACATTTTCTTCCTTTTTTTCTCACTCCATTAAGACTAGGGAGATAGGAATGGTGCCCCAGAGCAGTGCTTCTCAAACTATAACATACGCAAGAAACACCAGGGCAGCCTGTGATACATAGATTCTGCCCACGGAGATCTGAAGTGGGGCCTGAGATTCTGTGTCTTGAACATTTGCCCAAGTGATACCCACGTTGGTGTTCTGGGACCATACTGTGAGTAGCAAGGACTTACAGGGAAGGAGAGAGAGTAGGTAACAAAGGACAGTGCTGGGCCAGGGTAAGCTGGCATTTTTCTAGGAGGTGAATGACAAGAACAACCAAAAAAAGGCAAGCAATTGTTGTCAAGTGGATTCCAACCGATGGCGACCATGTGTATGAAAGAGAAGAATTGCTCTATCTGGTTTTCCTGGCTGTGATCTTTATGAAAGCACAGCACCAGGGCTTTCTTCCCTGGTGACACTGGATGGGTTTGAACCATCAACCTTCAGGTTAGTAGTCAAGTGCAGCTTTCTTTTTAAAAAGCAGGAAACTCTTTCCCAGCTAAGAGGAACAGAGATTGCATTCTTTCTGAATTGTCAGTCCAAAGACAAAGCGTGTGTAGGGAATTTTGTCTTAGAAACACCATTTCTAAGGCCAGTTGTGATGGATATCACATTCCATTGTTAGGGCTTGTGATGGATGGAGTTGTAAGAGGGATGTGTGTGTGTGTGTGTGTGTGTGAAATATAATTGAAGTGGGAGTTCAATGTATTTTTTGCTTTTTAAAGACTTGCCTTAATAAGGAAATTTCCAACCCTGCCAAACTAAACCAAGCTCACTGCCACTGAGTTGATTCTGACTCATAGCAACCCCCATTGAGTTTCCAAGGTGGTAAATCTTAGCGGAAGTAGATTGCTCAGCCTTCCACAGAGTGGCTGGTGGGTTTGAACTGCCCACCTTGTTAGCAGTCAAATGCCTTAGGCATTACGCCACCAGAGCAGTAACACATAAAAAGTTGTGAACTGGTTCTTGATTGCTGTCCCTTCCCACAAAATCTTCCATCAAATGGATCTTTACTTTTGCTTTCAGTGAAGGAAAGACGAGACCTAGGTTACTTTATACCTCTTTTTAGGAGGATGAGGGAGGCAGACAAACTCTAGCCTGCCACCTGGGGCCTTTGCCTCCTAAGTGGACTGTAGACCATTACGTTCAGGAGATATTTAAGAGATGCATCCTTGAGAGAAGGAGCTCTGGTGGTGCAGATGGTTAAGCATTTGGCTGTTTAACAAAAGGCTAGAAGTTAGAACCCAGTCAGCAGCTCTGCAGGAGAAAGATCTGGCGATCTGCCCTCAAAGATTACAGTCCAGAAAGCCTTATGGGGCAGTTCTGCTCTGTTGCTTTGGTTACTATGAGGTGGAATCGACTCCAAGGCACTGAATAACAACGCTTGAAAGAAAGAGATGCCATGCCAAGTAAGTTTGGGAAACTGACATACAGTGTCTTCTAATACACGTTAGCATGTTAAGAGCTTAGAGAACTCTAGAAATAAAGCAACTTGTTTAACTTAATTAAGTAAATCCCTGTGTCCCAAATCTATTTGACCAAAGGACCACCACAACCCCTTTTAAGATTGTTTAAAAACTATGATCAGTTTCAAACATAGCTTTGGAAATGCTGATCTCAAATATAAGGCTGAAAAATTGGGGGCAGAGGCCAGTTCTCAGAATTTTCACACATTGCTGGCATCATAGAATCAGAGAATATCAGAGCTGAAATAGACCTTTGAGATCATCTCCTTAAGCCCTTCATTTTTTCCCTCCCTTGATAAAATGATGCCCAGAAGGGAAAATTTCTTGCCTGAAGTCACACAGCTAGTACCCAAGGTAGAGCCTTGGGTCTGGTGTGCCCCGTACACACCCAGGCTCCAAACTTTGCCTAATTGATAGTCTTTTCTCTCTTGCTTTCTTTTGTGACAGAGTCTTCACTGGACTCAGTCTCAGTGCTGTCCCTGTCCCTCCTTCCCTTCTAGCCACCACACACCTCAGCCCCCAGGCCTGGAGCTCACTGAGTTCACAGTTTAATGCAGCCCTCACCAACACCATCCAGGCCATCAGCACGTACCCCACCTAGACAGAGTCCGTCCCAGCATCTGCCCCGTGTCTGGGTTCCAGCAGTAGCGCTGGAATTCTTCCATCCTCTGGCTGCAGGTCTTTTTTTCTTGTAAAGCTGCCATTACCCCTTATTTTGGAAGATTTTCCCCTCCTGAAGAATGAGAGAGTCTGTTTGTACCTCACTTTGAGAAAAGAAAATACCTTTCTTTGCATTTTTATAGTCTCCTCTTTTAGAGGTCAAAGGAATTGTGGGTAAATAGATTCTAAGGAAAGTACCTAAGAGGTGTTATCATCCAGCCCTCAGCTATCACCCTTTCCAAATATGAGGGATTGTGCACGGCCCCCGGTGAGCACTGGAAGGTTCTCTTGTTATCAGGTGCCCTTCCACTTTCTCTCCTCGGGCAAACCTGGGTGGCACCATGTTTCTTACCATTCCTCTGCCTTTTGGGGTGCCCTTGACTGGTAACTTTATCTGTTCTGATAATGACTAAGGAGAAATACTTTCTTGGCTGAAATGTACAGTCACTCACTAAGTTTTCCCCATCCAAAAATGTACAGCCACTCACTAAGTTTTCCCTGTCTGATTACTTCCTTCAGGAGGAGAATATAAAAAGCACGTCAGAGCTTGAACAGACCTGACTTTGAATCCTTGTATGTACTGCCATTGACTGGGTTTGCAACCTTCAGATTGCTATTGACCTGAGACATAACTTCCTTCAACTGTAGCAATATCTACTGCTCAGACTTGTTAAAACCAAAACCAAACTCACTGCCATGGAGTCAATTCTGACTCATAGTGACCCCCATTGGGTTTCCAAGGTTATAAATCTTTACAGAAGCAGACTGCCTCATCTTTCTTTTGTGGATCAGCTGGTGCATTCGAACCACTGAACTTTTGGTTAGCAGCTGAGTGCCTGAACCACTACACCACCAGAACTCTTAGAGTTATTAAGAGGGTTAATTAAGGTAATGCATGTACTTATGTTGTTGTTGTTGTTATGTGCTGTCAAGTCGGACTTGACTCATAGCAACCCCTACTTGGGTTTCCGAGGCAGTATCACTACGGAAGTAGATTGCCCCATCTTCCTTCTGAGGAGTGGCTGGTGGGTTTGAACCGCCAGCTTTCTGGTTAGCAGTCAAGTGCCTTAGGCACTACGCTACCAGAGCTCCCGTATGTACTTATGGGTGCTCCATAAGTGAGCTCCATAGCCCTTAGCATTATCATTCATTGGAAAGGATAATTTCTGACAGCAGATAGCGCTGAATCACAGCTGAAGCAAAGTCAAGATGTAATCTGCAGTAGGTATTTAAATGTTATATGAACAGAGAGCTAGAAAATGTTATTCCCAGATAAGATCATTCAGAGTCCCCAGAGGGTTTTTCTTCACCTCCTAACTCTTTTGATGCTCAGTTTCACTGTGATGATAATGTCCTCCTGGATTCATTGTTGGGAGAGAAGGAGTTGAAGCACCTTTAGGACCTTTTTGTTTCTCTGAAGGAATTCACAATTCTCACAATTTAATGTGCACATAAATCACCCGGAAATCTTGTTCAAATGCAGATTCTGATTTACTGGGTCTGGAAGGGGCCTGACACTCCATTTCCAACAAGCTCTGAGGTGGCGCCCATGCTTGATGGCTGGAGGATCACAATTGAGTAGTAAAGGTATGTTGTTGTTGTTGTTATGTGCCGTGGAGTCGGCCCCGACTCATAGCGACCCCTCCTTGGGTTTCCGAGGCAGTATCACTATGGAAGTAGGATTGCCCAACCTTCCTTCCAAGGAGTGGCTGGTGGATTTGAACCGCCAGCCGTCTGGTTAGCAGGCAAGTGTCTTAGCCACTATGCTACCAGGGCTCCCAGTAAAGGTATAGGCCAGTGATTCTCAACCTTGGTAGCACATTGGAGTCACTTGGGGAGTTGTAAAAACTACTAATGCCTGACTCTACCTCCAGAGATTGTGATTTAATTGATCTGCGCTGTAGCCTGGGCATCAGTACATTTAAAGCCACAGATAAGTTGAATGTGCAGTCAGGTTTATGAGCCATTGGTATAGAGACTTCAGTGTTTTGTTTTGTTTTTTAAGGTTTTATATAGCTGCTGTAGAGACTGTTGTTGTTATGTGCTGTTGAGTTGGATCCGACTCATAGCGACCCCTCCTTAGGTTTCTGAGGCAGTATCACTACGGAAGTAGATTGCCCAAACTTCCTTCCGAGGAGTGGCTGGTGGGTTTGAATCATTTGATTGGTTAGTAGTTAAATGCCTTAGGCACTATGCTACCAGAGCTCCCGTTGTAAACTAGGTCATCCATATCTACTTAGGTTGAAAGGGGAATACTGTTCAAAAATAATTTATCTCAGTGGCCTTTTTATAAATATCTAACCTGATTAAAATGATGGGTGTTATACACAAAGATCTAGGAATTTCATTTGTTGTTACACATAGGCTTTCCCTCTCCGGAACCCATATAACCCAATTTCGAGGGTTTCTTTGTGAAGGAGACAGAAACGAAAAATCATCTAGCCATTATTCTGCTGTACTTTCTCTGTGCATGGGGTCACTATGAGTCGGAAACGACTCGACAGCACCTAACAACAACAACATAACTTTCTCTAGGATGAGTTAGAATTTGCCAGCAAACCAAACACCTTAAAAGGAGCCCTGTCGGTGCCGTAGTGAAGCACTCAGTTGCTAACTGAAACGTCAGCAGTTTGAACCCACTGGCTGCATTCTGCAAGAGAAAGAGGTGGCAGTCATCTCCTGTAAAGATGTGCAGCCTTGGGAAACCTATGAGGAGAGCTCTACTTTGTCATCTAGGGTCTCTATGGCCCTTGGAATTGACTCAAAAACAAAAGTTTTTTGTTTTCTTTCTTTCTTTTAAAATGCTTTACCTTGGACTCATAATTTCTTACTGAACCAATCCTGCCCATTTTTTCTTAACAATGTTCCCATGAACAACTTTGGAATTTTAGGACAATAAAAAAGCAGAGTGTGGTCATGGGATAGAGTCTAGTTGTTCCCAGCACATGGACCTGGAACAATGGGATGTGGCAAACATTTTCTGCAGAATAAATGCCTATTTTGTGAACTACAGAGATACTCTTGAAATTAATAGAACAAGAATTCTTTCTGAAAGTCTTTGACCTTCATCTTCCTTAGTTTCTGAATTCCCAGTAACATGCACTTTACATGCTGAACTGTACACATGTTATCAAAATGACCTTCTTTCATTTGTGGGATGGACAAGCAGGAAGAATGACATTGGTAGAGGACAGTTTTCCCTAAAGCATACTCTGAAAATGTAGGACTGGGTGCTCTATATGAAAATTGATTCCAGATAACGTGGAGAGCCTGGGCTTTCAAATGCACCTGGTAGTAGGTACTCCTTCCCCTTATCACGTGGGTAATGTCTGTGGAGGCCTAGTGGAGAGATAGGACTTTCACCATCACTCAACTGTCACAAGACAACCATTGTAGTTTCAGTGGAAACCATATGGAGAGCCAAAACTCCTGCCCTCCACCCAGCCATTACAAGAGGTCCTCCCCTCAATGGGTGTCAGTGGAAGCTGAGTAGATAACCTGGGCTTATATTTCCACTAGCTCTGGTGGCATAGTGGGTAAGACATTTGGCTGCTTACCAGAAGATTGGTGGTTTAAACCCCCCAGCTGCCCCATGGGAGGAAGATGAAGCAGTCTATTTCTGTAAAGGTTTATAGCCTTCAAGACACAATGGACATCGCTATGTGTTGAAATTGACTCGAAAGCAGTGGATTTGGGCAGTAAAGATGTGGTACCCCACTCTTCCACTACAGTAGAGTCAGAAAAAGTAGCTAAAACAGAAGGATTAAATAAGATCTAGAGTCTCATAACAATACCAAAATGTTGAGGATTCAACTGATAATCATTTATCAGACCAAGAACAAGGAAGATCTCAAAGTTAATTTAAAAAGAAAGAGAGAGAGAGAGACAATTAACAGATGTCAACACAGAAATAACATAAATGTTAGAGTGCTCTGACAAAGATTAGAAAATGATAAAACCAGGATAAAATGTTTCAATGAGCAATTACAAACATGCTTGAAACAAATTGAAAAAAAGAAAGCCTCAGCAAAGAAATAGAAAGTCTAGGCATAGAGAGAGAAAAAAGAAGAACCGAATGGAAATGTTAGAACTGAAAAATACAATAACGGAAATAAGACATTCAATACGCTCAACAGCAGAGTAGAGGTTAACAGAGGAAAGAATCACAGAACTAAAAGATGTTGTTGTTGTTATGTGCCGTCGAGTCGGCCCCGACTCATAGCGACCCCTCCTTGGGTTTCCGAGGCAGTATCACTACGGAAGTAGGATTGCCCAACCTTCCTTCCATGGAGTGGCTGGTGGGTTTGAACCGCCAGCCTTCTGGTTAGCAGTCAAGTGCTTTAGCCACTATGCTACCAGAGCCCCTGAACTAAAAGATAGAACAGTAGAAATGACCTAATTTGGACAACAGAACGAAAATAGACTGGGGCGGGGGAGGGGGGAGAACAGCTCCTCAGACATTCGTGGCACTATAACAAAACATAACATTTGTGTTATTGTGAAGTCCTGGAAGGAAAGAAGAAGGAGGGTAGGGCCAGAAAAAATACTCATGGCTGAAAACTTCCCAAATTTGGCAAAAACATAAATTCAGATTCAAGAAGATGAGCAAACCCTAAATGGGATGCTGCTGTTGTTGTGCTGTCAAGTTGGTTCCTACTCATAGCAATCCTACGTATAACAGAACGAAACACTGCCCTGTCCTGCACCATCCTCACAATCTGCTCTGCTTGAGCCCACGCCATTGTTGCAGCCACTTTGTCAGTCCATCTCATTAAGGGTCTTCCCCTTTTTTCTCTGACCCTCCACTTTACCAAGCGTGATATCCTTCTATAGGGATTGGTCCCTTCTGGTAACATGACCAAAGTAGATGAGACAAAGTCTGGCCATTCTCATTTCTAAGGAGCATGCCAGCTGCATTTTTCCCAAGACAGATCTGTTTGCTCTTCTGGCAGTCCATGGTATTTTCAACATTCTTCACAAACACCACATTTCAAAGGCATCAATTCTTCCCTCTTCCTTATTCGTTGTCCAGCTTTCACATGCA